TGCCATGACTGGATGTGTCACTGACTATATAAACTTCTGTGTGGACAACATCATACCCACCAGAACAGTGAGATGCTTCGCTAATAACAAACCCTGGATCACAAGTGAACTGAAGAATCTGCTAAATGAGAAAAAAAGAGCCTTCAAGGAGGGAGACAGGAATTTATTGAGGAGTGTACAGAAGCAACTGAAGATCAAGATCAGAGACAGTAAGAAGGCATACAGGAAGAAGCTGGTGAACAAACTGCAGAGGAACAATATCAGAGATGTCTGGTCAGGGATGAAGAAGATCACAGCCTTCAAGCAGAGGAAGGATTGCACACATGGCAGCCTGGACACAGCCAATGAACTGAACAAGTCCTTCAACAGGTTCAGTTCAGGAACAAACCCAGCATCCTCCTTGCCTGTCCCCAGCCAATCAGACATCCCATCCTCCTCTGATCCAACATTTTCCTGTCACACGCCAGCTCTTTTGTCCTCTAACGCAGTCATGGACTCTTCCGGTTCCATAAATCTGTCATCAACCAAGTCAGGGGATGCTGCTGACCCATTTACCTCCCCCTCCCACCTATCTGTCGCTAGAAGTCAGGTGAAGAGGCAGCTGGAGAGACTGAACAGGAACAAGGCTGCAGGTCCAGATAGTGTCAGCCCCAGAGTACTGAAGGCATGTGCAGAGCAGCTCTGTGGGATTCTGCAGCACCTCTTCAACCTCAGCCTGGCCCAGGAGAAGGTTCCAGTCCTGTGGAAGACATCCTGCCTTGTTCCAGTTCCAAAGAAAACTCGCCCATCAGTCAATGACGACTACAGACCAGTTGCCCTGACATCCCACATCATGAAGGTCCTGGAGAGACTCCTGTTGGTCCACCTGAATAAGCAAACTAGGACATATCAGGACCCGCTGCAGTTTGCTTATCGCCATGGAGTTGGAGTTGAAGATGCCATCATCCAGCTGTTTCAACCAACCCACTGTCATCTGGACAAAGCAGGCAGCACTGTGAGGGTCATGTTCTTTGATTTCTCCGGTGCATTTAACACAATCCAGCCTGATGTTCTTTGCCAGAAACTCCAGAAGACACAGGTGGGGTCCTCAGCTATCACCTGGATTAAAGACTACCTGACAAACAGACCACAGTTTGTGAGGCTGAAGAACTGCAGATCAAACCAGGCAATCAGTAACATTGGAGCACCACAGGGGACTGTACTCTCACCATTCCTTTTCACCCTGTACACCTCAGACTTCCAGTACAAATCAGAGACCTGTCATCTATAGAAATACTCAGATGACTCTGCAGTTGCCGGGTGTATCAGAGATGGACAGGAAGCTGAGTACAGAGAGCTGGTGGAGCGCTTTGTGGCATGGTGTGGAAACAATCATCTGACCTTGAACGTGAACAAAACAAAGGAGATGATTTTAGACTTCAGAAGAAACAGGGTGGAGAAGAAGTGGAGGTGGTTGAGGAATACAAATACCTTGGATTTCACCTGGAGAAAGAACAACAAAGCTGTTTACAAGAAGGGACACAGCAGACTGCACTTCTTGAGGACGCTTAGGTCCTTCAATGTCTGTAGCAAGATGCTGCAGATTTTCTACAAGTCTGTTGTCGAGAGTGTAATCTCTTCAGCCATTGTTTGTTGGGGTAGCAGCATCAGAAGCAGGGACCTGAAAAGGCTCAACAGCCTAATAAAAAAGGCTGGTTCTGTTCTGGGGACGACTGTGGAACCACTGGAGGAGATAATGCAAAGAAGGATTCTCCAGAGAATCAAGAAAATGATGGACAACCCTGAGCATTCTCTTCACAAGACTGTCTGACAACAGAAGAGTGTCTTCAGTCAGAGGCTTCTTCAGTTTCGCTGCAACACTGACCGCTACTGGAGATCCTTCCTGCCAACAGCCATCGTAATATACAACAACTCTTTGATGACTTGATTATATTATTATTCTTAGCAATTTCCCTCTGGGATTAATACAGTATTTTTGAATTGAATTGAATTGAAGGTGTGTCAAAGCAGACATCAATCTGTCCTCTTGTGTTGTGTCTCTGTTCTTCATGAAGCTGCAGCAGCCTGTTGAAGGTAACTGTTAGGGTTTTTCTTGCCTAAAGTAATAATCACACAGGAACGAATATGGTCTTTTTTTTAGCTTTGCAAAGGGAAGAGAGCAATGGAGAAGTTGAACAGCGTGACTCCACTCCACTGCCCAACTCCAAAGTTCTCCCTGTGTGGCTCATTTTTATTAAACTCAGGAATGCATGAGAGTGGTTACACATTACTCTAATGTGGTGTGGTAAGATCAGTGCAACATGACTTGGAACTGAAACATAATTCTCCAGACACAAAACTGTGGGTGATTGTCGGTGACTCTACAGCATGAATCGACAGCACGAGTGTGGGTGAATCGACAGCACGAGTGTGGGTGAATCGACAGAGCGAGTGCGGGTGAGTGGACAAAGCTAGTGCGGGTGAATTGACAGCATGAGGAACAAACATCATGTACAGACAGACTCACATATGAGATAATCGGTTTACATACTCCAGCCGTAACGTTTACTGCACCGAGTTCAAGTTGATCTTGGACAAACCAGCTGTGATGAGTTCAGCGTTCATCCAGGCGTGCAGATAGGGTGGGGGACGGGGGGATCTGTACCCCCCAGATTCAGATCGATCCCGATCCATCCCCCGCACTAAGGCCAGAAAGAAAACAAAATCAGAGGTTAAGCGCTTGAAGCTCCTTTTTCCAATTACATTGAATGCAGCATGACGTAAACAAACACCGACTCCAGAGGCGCCAAAGTGGTTGCTGCTAGGATGCAGGATGAAGCAACGATTACTGCGTATTTAAAAAAGTCCAACAGTGTAAGTAGGCGGGACCGATCTGTCTGTTTATGCATGTTGGTTCTAGTTTCAGTACGTTGTTGTCGGTGTTGGGACTTACTCGTTATAAACGCCAAAGCCTCATTGCTGACTTTAACAAGTCTCATCTACAGATATGATCTCTCATGAAGTTACTACTTTACACCAGAAGATAGTGGAGATGTGGAACCTTCAGGCTGAGCAAAGTTTGGGAGTTTTTAGAGTTTGAAAACCGCCTCCCGCCGAGAGGCTCCCAGTCGGGGAGAGGAGGAGATGCACACAACATGAAGAGCGTAAATATTAGATAAAACGTATAATTGCCGGCAGGCCTGGTCTTTGTTGACTGATCACTTTGTCTGGTCATGACTGACTCTGATTATGAAGCAGAACATTGACTCTGATGAAGAAATTCACTCATCCAGCCGGGAAGATTGACGCTGCTGCAGCATCAGACAGCTGGTGCTGCACGAGAGGTGTGTGGAGTTTACAAGCTCCAGACGTTGGGTTTGATGTTGGTTTCACCTTCTCTGGGACGTGATGAATGTAGAAATGATGGTAAAATACCGCTAACGTGACAGACGTAGCGACAATGTTAAAAAAAAAGCTGTAAAAAAGAGGCAGATGTCGATGCGTTATATATGGAAGTCAAGTGTGCCACATAATCATAAAAAAGTAAAATATAAAATTTAAAAAGAGATTTATATATTTATATATAAATAAAAACCTTTAAAATATAATGACAATTTCTAAATAACGTAAACATATGAAGGAACATCTGTTGGTCAGGCTGAAAAGTTTGGGAACCACTGCTCTAAGTGAATATTGTTTTTAAATATATTTTATGTGCAGTTTTTTAGGGCTTTTATGTTTTCTGTAAAGATTGGTATGCTGAAAATCATTTAACGTTTTGCATGAAGCATGAGGTTTGGTTAGTAAGTGATTGGGAGAATAACAAATGACTGATTTGAATAGTGTTGATCAGGCAGAACTTTGCAGCCAGGGTTCCATTGCACAATGGCTTCAGACACGTATATAATAGTGTTAGTTTTGTAACGTGATAAAGGAGCAATTCCACCGAAGGTTATTTACACTCTCTCCTCAGATGCCTCTGACACAGAACTAATCTGCATGAGAGTGCCTCAAGGTCATGCATTCGCTTCTAAACTGCTTCTTTCCAGCCCAAGAGAAGAATGAAGACAAAGGACTCTTTCTTTTTAATAAATCAAAGATGAAAATATTATGATTAGTAAATTTTAATAAGTAATATGACTTTAATCTAGCTGCAGTAGACATTCTGACGACACGTAATGTAAATGCACGACACATTGCTTTTACTCATCCAATCAGAACCTTCCTTTCTGAAGCGTGGCATAGTCTCTGTGGTGTTTATGAATCTGCCAACTTTGATTCGACCATAAATCAAAACATTCAGATTAATAAAACCAGTCCCCACGCCATCTTAGTTCAGTTCTTTGAGTTCTCTTCAGTTCACTGCAGTTCACCGCATTCTAAGAGAAGTATTGGACCGGCCACCCGGACTTCCTTTTTAAGCAAAGAACCAACAAGCTGGATAAAATCTGTTGCATTTTACCAACCAAGCAACGGTTCCTTTCAGAATAAAAGCTGAACTCACTGACCCAAGGAGGGTCCATCTGACGCTGTCAACCAGCTGTTTTAAATGTTTTAAAGGTGACTCTCTCTTCTGTTGTCTCTCAGTTAATACGAAGTGTTACATAATCCCTGCAATAAAAAGTTCCAATCTTCTGGTTAAAATAACCCAAAGATCTATAAGATTAATTTCATATTTACTATGGAATCTTATGTCTTATGGTTCCTTAAATAGATGTAAATTAACTCCTTTACAGTTTTTACATAAACCGTTGGATGAAATTACACAAACTGACTGAGCTCTAGTTAAGGCACTTGCAATAGTTTGTGTATGTGTGCGTGCGTGCGTGTGGGTGTATGTGTTTGGGGGAGGGTACATTGGCACTTTGTCCCCCCCAGTTTGAAAATCCTATCTGCGCCCCTGCGTTCATCAGTCATGTGACTGCACTCACCACTGACCAGATAGTCATCAGATTAAACACTTGAGTCTTTTATTCCCTTAGGGCGATGGTGGTTCTAATGGTTGATGTTGTTTCTGTCAGGTCTCTACTGGACAGCTCTGATACCATCTCCATCGACACCAGCGTGGTCTCGTCACAGGAGTTCAGCTGTCTCTTAGATATGATCTACACGGGCAGGTTACCTCTGGGCAAACACAACATCAGTCGCATCGTGGCTGCTGCTGAAAACCTGCAGATGTTTGATTTAGCTGTTGGCTTCAAAAATGTCCTCACCACTCTGGTGAACCAGCAAGTCACCAGCCACACTACAAGTACCACCTCAGAGGGTTCAGCCACACCCAGCAGGAAGGACGCTGCCTCCGACAGGATGGACATCAGGTCTGAGATAGAGAAGAAGAGCTGTCGCTGTGGCGACGAAGATGTGGTGGAGCCAGCTTGTAAGAAATCTTGTGAGGAACCCCCAGAGTCTCCAGGTCTGGTTCTGTAGAGTAGCACTTAAAACCAGTAGAGTCAAAACCTCAGCCTGAGTGTGTGCGTGTGTGTGTGTGTGTGTGTGTGTGTAAACAGGCGTAGAAGATACTGCAGCAGTCAGAGAGTCTAGCACAGCTGCTGGTGGTCTCCTGCAGAACTCCTTCCTGCTGGTGAAGCTTCTCAGCAGCGTTCCGTCTGTCCTAGAGCTTTTGAGCCAGGCAGCAAAGGGCAGGTGGGATGAAGAGAGCAGACAGGTAGGAGTCTTTATCTTGTTGTTTTCCTGCTAACTCTTGTGATCACCTGGCTTCAGCTCAACCTGGTGAAGGGGGTGAACCAGAACTTCTGCTCCAGGTCCGCCTGCCAGGCTGATTCCCGTTTAAATGAGGGAAAGTCCAGAAACGAGCTGGACACGGGGCATGATATGGGGGTTAAAGGTGTCTGGTCAGATCATAGAACTGAAACAGAAACAGCCTTCTCTCTGCTCCTGGCAGGTTCTGAGGGAGTGCTGTGAGGAGGGGGAGCCCAGCTTGGCGCTGGAGAAGCTGATGAGCAGATTAAGAGATGGAGCAATCAGTGAGCCGAGGCTCATTCAGCTGCTCCAAGCTGTCCAACAGAAAACTCTGGCATCCTTCCCTACTCTGCTTCTCCCTCTCCTGGAAGGGAACACACCCCAGACTGAGGGTGAAGGTCAGCGCTCCAGGGTGAAGGCTGCTGCTGGACTGACTCTCTTCAAACATCTCTAACGTGTCTTCCTCCTTCACAGCCGACCCAGAGCAGCAGCATGACTCCAGAGATGAAGCACAGCCAGAACCAGAGGTGGAGACTGAACGCAGCACCAAGCAGAGTGAGGAGGATGAGAAATCTGTGACTTCTCCAGCCGACTCTTTGTCCTCCATCTCCACCCAGTCCAAGTCCTACTGCTGCCGCTGGTGCAAGAAGAGTTTTAAATTTAAGTGTCGCATGCTGTCCCACGCAAAGCGCTGCTCCATGTCCCAGGACGGGGACCTGCAGTGCCCTCGGTGCCCCAAGAAGCTCCCCAACCAACGAGCAATGAGGCATCACTGGGCGGAGCTTCACCGGGACACCAAGCGGGACAAGAAGAAGGTGCTCTGTGATCTCTGTGGGCGGTGCTTTGCTCACCCATCAGGTCAGAACTTCCACAGTGCAACCGTGTGTGTGCGTGCACGTGCGTGCGTGAGAGAGAGAATCCTAAAACGAGAGAAACTTCAGATCCAGTAAAGATTTAAAACCAAGGTAACTTAAATTCCTCTGGAGGCTGAGCTGGATCAGAGCTGTCTGCTACTTCCAGTGTTGGGTGTCTTATGTAAAAAAAAAAAAAAAAGAGTAATTAAGTATAGTTACAAATTACTTTTTCCAAAAAGTAATTGAGTTAGAAACTCAGTTACCACATTGTAAAAGTAACTAGTTACCTAGCAAAGTAACTAACGCTACTTTTATGTTCTATAATATCTTAAACGTCAAAGATTTTTATAAGTGAATATTTCTGACTATCTGGAACGAGCATGTCAGATATCTGGGAATCTGGGAATCTCACATTGAATTCCTGCTAGTGCAGTTGTTATGGATATACTTCATTATCATTTCTATAGTAACAATGTAGCTGCTGATGTCTTTGTTTGCAGTTTTGACCAATAAGAGCATCAGTCTTTATTTAAACAGCGCCTTCCACTGCCTTTGCAAGACCAAGGTGCTGAACCCAACACACACTAAAAATAAAAAGGAGATAAAAGCAGCATACAAAATGTAAAGAAACATAAAAGCATAAAACCAAGTCAAGAAAAGCCAAACCATAAAAGCGAGTCTTCAAACGACTCGAAGACCTGCAGTGAAGGTGATGGTTTAATGTCCAGTGGAAGGTCGTTCCAAAGAGAAGGAGCCAAGCCCGATCACCTCTAGACCTGTACCAAGGTTGTGGGACAATCAAGAATACAATTACTAGGATACATTAAATTATTGATATATAAACTAAGAGTTACAAAGATTGTTGATTAAATGTTAAAATGGCTTTCCAGTGGTTTAGTCTCAGCACATCACTCATTTCTTCACCTTTCTGAAGGGCTGGTTGTTTTTCTTTCCTCCTCTTTTACAGATTTGTCTCCACAAATATTTACAGATCCACCGTGTTAATGTAATAATCGTCCCAGCCACCTGCTTTATAGAGATCTGAGGAAAGAACCTACCTCCCATCTGCAAACAAACACCCTGATGTGCAGCGCTGTGTTGTCTGTAACACCGGCTCCTCCAAGGAGGAGCAGGCTCTGAGAGCCGACACATCACTGGTGCGGCTGTCAGGCAGCCTGACAGCGCTGCTGTGCTTCATTCAACCACATTGTAGTAATGCTTTCAGTTCAGCATTAATATCTTTATATTAATATTGTTAAAATATCATCATTATTTTAATACCGCTACTATTTATTATTATTATTATTACTGCATATGATAATAATGATTATAATGGTATTATTTACTATCAGATTAATGTATGCGTTTAATTACTTATTTTATCTCATACACATGAAGGCGTCATATTCTAGCTACTCACACACACATCTATGGGTGCACTAAGGGTTGTCTCATGGAACGTACATGGAGCTGGCTCCAGAGAGAAGAGATTAAAAATTTTTGATCAGTTAAAAAGAGTACAAGTAGACGTAATATTATTACAAGAGACTCATAGATCTTCCACATCTGACAACACTTTCAGAGACTTTTACCAAACTTTGTACTCACCACAGATAAACCCATCAGATAACGAGATCATTGAGTTCCTTGGCAGGATAACACTTCCTAAATTATCAGACAACCAAGCTACAGTCCTGGACTCGCCACTAACATCAGCGGAGCTCCAGGAAGCCCTTAAATCCATGACTAATAGGAAAGCTCCAGGTCCAGACGGGTTTCCAGCAGAGTTCTACAAAGAATTCTGGATCATTCTGGCTCCAACATTTTTCAGAATGGTGAGGGAAATCGCAGAGAGCGGCAGATTACAGCCAAACATGAATTCAGCCAATATTAGTCTCTTGTTAAAACCAGACAAAGACCCTGCATTTCCTACCAGCTATCGCCCAATTTCTCTTATTAATGTTGATCTCAAAATAATTTGTAAAGCCCTGGCCAAAAGATTAGAGAAGGTAACCCCCTTCATAATACACCGTGACCAAACTGGTTTCATTAAGGGTAGACAGTCATCCACAAACTCACGTAGATTACTTAATTTGATAGATTTCTCTTACAGTAGAAATATAGAAACTAGTATATTATCTCTAGATGCAGAAAAGGCTTTTGATAGAGTTAACTGGAAGTTCTTATTTGCAAAACAATTTCTCTTTTGTCAGTTTGCTTAATACACAATTGGAGTCAGGGAATATCACATACCTGGGAATTAATGTCTCTCCCAAGTTAGCAGATCTAACAAAATGAAACTACATCCCACTTTTTTTTCTTTTTTCTTTTTACCGTGTCCTGTCTGGCTGTGAAGCAAGCAGAACTGATGTCTGAATGCTGGTAACAAGCCTTACAGATTTATTCTCAGGTGGAGCATCAAAGCGTTTGCTTTTAATGTCACGCCTGATACTTAAAACTTTATTGTTATTGTTGTTGAATGCTTTGTAATTCCGACCAGACACGGAGACAGAGGTGAAAGAGAAAGGAAAAGAAAAGGTAGGGAGAGAGAGAGAGGGGGGGGGGGTGTTCCACAAAAAGTAAACAATAATGAACAAGAGTCTGCTTCTAGACCTGCAGAAAAAGACCAAAAAAAAAAGCAAAAGGGCAAAAAAAAGGGACACAACAACAATACAACAAGATCAAGCTATCACTGCGTCAACTTGATGAGGAAATATATAATCAACATTGCTTAACTGAAGAATCACGATAATAAATCACAATGCATTAAGTGCCCACCATAGTCTTAAGACCTGTGTTTAACGTGCCCAAGCCCATACTTTTGAGAGCACCATGTGAGCACCTGTGTGTGTACACGCGCTTGTTTATTTAAGGTTTCTCTATAAGAGCGTCCAACAGAGAGTGTGAGGGACCACAGATCCGCCCCCCAAAGATGCGCAGGACACGGGGGGAGCTCCAAGTCTCAGAGATCCAGGCGCTGCCCCAGAACACAGGAACCCCAAGGAGACTGCAACTAGAAAGGCCCCCGCCCCCCCTCGAGAGGCACAGAGAATCGCCCCGAGGGGCCACAACCAGCAGCCGGCAGAGTCCCGGGAGACATCATCGGCAAGCCCTCAGGCCCGCCCGCAGCCTCCCACCCCCTAGCCGGCCGAGCCCGGGACCCAGCGACCCGGGACCCAGGGGCGACCACCCCCGCCGGGGACCCAGCAGAGCCCAGGGACCCAGACCCCACCAGGCAGCCACCGGGATCTATCAGGCAGATGCCAAAATCTTAAACCCCCTGACCCGGTTGCCACGAACACTCAGGCAGACCAAGGCACAACCCCTCTCACCAGGTGTGGCAGGGGGAGGGGGGACGAAGATCTATATCATCAAAAGAAGTTCCAGGAGAGGGGAGGAGTCAAAGGCCCCACCTGACATATACAGTCATACACAAACACAGTCACACACTCCCTTCCTCATGCTCACACATGCACATACAACCCAAGACTTACAAAAATGCACGCCGGACACCCACTCATGCTCCCCATACACACCCTATTCACTCTGGTCGCAGTACTGCTGCACACGGGGTACAACCATCACCGGTAACCAGAGTTTGACCCTTTCTGCTGGGGTGCTGATGAGCAGGCTCCCACGCACAACGCTGAGCACAGCAACCCACCACCCCAGACCCCAACCAGACGGCCAGATCTCCCTCCTAGCCTCCAGCCCCAGGAAGCCTAGCAACAACAGAGGTGGCTAAGACCCCTAGTCTCCCTCCGCCTGCTCCAACCACATCCCACTTTTAAAGAAAGTGGAAGATGATCTTGCAAGATGGAAATCCTTACCGATATCACTCATGGGGAGAGTTGCTACAATTAAAATGATGGTCTTACCCAGAATAAATTACTTATTTTCAATGATCCCAAACAAACCTCCAGCTGACTGGTTTAGATCTCTGGACTCCTCAATTACCAAATTCCTTTGGCAGGATAAACCTCCACAAATTAGCTTAAAAACGCTTCAGAAGACCAAAGACAGAGGAGGACTGGATCTACCCAACTTTTATTATTATTTCTTAGCCAACAGGCTGCAATATATACCAAGATGGTTGCAAGATAACCCACTAGATGAGTCCTGGTTAGATATAGAACAGACACTTTGCAATACGATAGAGCTTTCAGACCAACCATTTATTAGCTCAAGCATAAGAAAACATGAAAGCTTCAAAAGTATTAGTATCAGCACCTCTCTGTCAGCATGGTGGGAGTATCTTAAAATGACAGAGTCTTCACTAGTACCATGCAGACGCACACCCATCTGGAATAATCCTGATATTTTGCAAAATAATAAAATTATGAACCTTCCGGACTGGAAAAACAAAGGAATCCTATACCTGGAACACATATATGAAGGATTGGACTTCATCCCATTTAATCAAATAGTCTCCCAATTTGGAATGGATAGCTTTTTAGAATATCACCAAATTAAATCTGTAGTCAAACAAAAGTTTAAGTTCAATAAAGTAGCATTACAAACACCACCAAGGGTATTAGACTTCTATAATCTCAAACCCCCCAAACTACTGTCTAAAGCAGTGGTCTTCAAATGGTGGCCCGCGGGCCACATCCGGCCCGCAAGCCCTCTCTTTGTGGCCCCCAAACCCCGATGGCCGACCGGGAGGTTTAGGATAGAGCTGAGGAAAATAATCAAATAATCAATGCATGAGATGTGGGCATAAACGATTTTGCATCATAGAAGAGAACCATAATCAGTTATAGTGGAATGTAGTTGTGTTATTTTAACGGCGACACCAACGCAGCATCCAGATCTGTCAGAGCGGTGTTCTCCACATTTACCGGGTAGGAAACTTTGGTCTGCCTTTATGTGGTTCTGCAGGGCTGAGCGCTGGAGTTGTAACCTGAGACCGAACCCGAATCGAATCAGCCCAACTGGTTCTGTTGGATTTGGGTCGTAAATTATGTTAATTGAGCAGCTTGTTACGCAGCTCGCTCCACTCGC